CAGGCTGCAGATGACATGAAATGGTACCCTGAGACGCAGGAGGGGTGCATGGGGCAATGGGCAGGCTGACCCTTTGCAAGGAGGGATGCAATGCTGGAGTTTTTCAGGGGGCAGTAATGCAGTGAAAATACCGAGCAGGGTGGCAGCAAGGTGCATGTTGGTGTCTCAGCTTTTCATCCAGCGTGCTTTCTGGCAGCTCCCTCATAACCACGTGGTGGAGGGGTAATCCTCCTGATTTTTGGCAGGTCGATGAAATCTAGCCTGTATTTAAGGCACCCGGTCTGCTTTTTGCTTCTTCAGTTTCCATCAGGCTGCGGTAAATCCTGGGCTGCACGCCTTTCCCAATCACCCGTGGACCAGCACTAACGGGGGGTGGTGGTTGTGGCAGAAGACCCCTAGGTCTGCCCGTGTTGGAAATCGTCTGTGACCAGCAGGAAGAGGAAGGCTGGGGGATTGCCTTAATCCACGCCTGAAATGTAAGGGAGGAAAGCTGTGATCCCTGCTGGCGTCTCTCACTGCTTGAAATTGCTTGACCACAAAATGGGCTTGTGATGGGTGGCTAGCTACTGATGGCTGGCATGAGCAGATCCCATCATCTGTCTGTAGAAGGAAGATAATTCTGTGAGCCCCGGAATAATTCCTGTCGCTATTTTGGTAACAGCAAGACAGTGTTCAAAGGAGCCTTGTGACTGGTGGTGTTTGAAATGCGTGTTTGGAGAAATGGCCCAGGCAGCTTCAAGAATTTTTAGAGAAGGAAAAGTGCACCTTTTAATTTGCAGTCAGTCCAGCCAAGCTTATGATGCACCAGACATGGTGTGATTGGAGATTTACTAATGATATTAGCGAAAACACGCTGATCTTGGTGATCCCAGTATCTCTTGGTAACCTCTGTGGTACCACAGGAGGCTGATGTGAAGCACGACAGCTTCCCCTGTGGCGTTTTGTCGTGGGATGTCTTCAGAAGCTGAGCCTAGGAGGTATGGCTTAAACGTTGGGCAGTCCTCTCTGCCAGGCATCCAGCGTGGCTGACTAGGATCACGTTGGGAGGCCTCTGTGCTTGGAGTCAGGCCTTTTCCCTGCAGGGGGAGATGGACAGGGTGGTGGGGCTTCTTTCAGCTCTGGGAAAATGCTTTGCATCTCTCAGGGTCTCAGCCTGATCCCATTCTCTAGGCAGGTTCAGCAGTGCAGCAGGTGAACGTGAGTGGAGGTGACTAACCAGTCAGGCTGTTCAAGTGGAACAGGAAAAAGGCAGGGGAAAAAAGAGGAGGGGAAAAAAAAAAGCCTCGAGGCTTCATCATCACCTTCATGCCTCCTGCTGGAAACTCTGCTTGGCTCATGACCCCCCTGCTCCAGCACATCACTACAAAAACCTTGACAGGAGAAGAAGAAGCATGGGAGAGTGGAGAAAATCACGGAAGAAACAGAAGAAATGACAAAGCTGGTAATGTGAGAGACATCAGAGGAGGGTTATGTATGCCGAGAAATCTGGATCTACCTGTGCTGCATCGCTCTGTGTGTAATGCCAGACTTCACGTGACAGTTGCCCTCCATTTCACGTTTCCAAGCTGAGAGAAGAATGAGGCATGTTGAGCTTGAATATCCAAAGTCATTGCCCCCAAAAGAATGAAAATAGTTCAAAAAGTGCAAAAATGAAGAATTAGTTTTAGTTACTGGTCTTATTTTAAGCAAGAAGGATGTTGTTGAAGTTGTTTGTTGAACTAGGTTGGTATTTTATACCTGAAAAATGATGGAAAGCCTTTCCATCTTCCTCTCAAGAGGACAAGGGGTGTGCAGTCCTAAGCGGTCACAAGAACCAGGTCATATCCTTGGTGTGACACGAGGCAAAAATTCAAGTTTATAGCTTTTCCCATTTCATCTGCTTTGAGCACCATCCTCAAAGAACCTTGCTGAGGCTTCAAACAGTTACTTTGAAAAGAAAAGGGAAAAAAAGGCAAAATACAGCAATGCCTTTTAGCTAAGGAAGCTCTGAGGAATTCTTCTCTGAACTGTGTCCAGATGATATTTCTGATGTTCTGGGTGTATATAGATCGTGCCACGTTGGCAGAGGCTCTACAAAACTTTTCACCTTCATTTGCTGTGGGCCAGTTCAGAAAGCTGCAAATCCATTGACACATCAAGTCACCTTTGAAGATTCAGTCATTTTGTGGTATTGTTTAAAAAATAAATAAATCTAGATTAGGGGTGGTAAATAGGAACTGACAGAGCTCTAGAAATCTCTGGATGGGGACAGAACGGAGTGTGTGGGAGAGAGATGGTCATCCTAGTCCTTTATAGCAGATTAAGGTAGTGAGGCAGAAATAATCTCGATTTGGTGGTTTTGTATCAACTGCAGCATTAGCAAATTGTGAGGAATTGGGGTGTAACCTTGGAGAGGAGGAATGAGCCTTCATGCATCAGCTTTACTGGCTGTTGCGTGAAGTTACAAATCTGATGGTATCTTGGCAATCTTTAACCAAATCTTTAACTTTGAACAACCAGATTATTAATTGGAGAAGTTAATTGGGGAAAAATAGTTCCTAAAAGCATCAGGCTGTGACACAAACATCAGCATCTCCTCTCCCTGCCACATCCACTCGAGCTTGTGTGACCACTGACGTTATTTCCAGCTGTAGCCCCATCAGGAGTGATGATTAAAAGCCAGCTTGGTTTTGACATGGCTGAGGTGGCTGTTTGGCTAAGAGGACAGCTGTTTCATCCCGTCTCGTGCTGGGAGGTAAGATGTAGGTCACTGTGTAACTGGTTTATGAACTACCCCCAATATCAGCACCGGTTGAAGCGCTGCTCCTTGGGCTGCTGCAGATGGACTGGGTAGGAGCCCAAGGAGAAGGCATCAAAGTGGGCACAGATTGTACTTCTGCTAGGATGAGATACCAGAGGATAAATATAACCTCAGCCTCTCGTTAAAATAACTCCTCCTGATTTTTTCCAGCAGATCCAGTCACCATATACCTTCTATCTTAAGAACATGAAGCCATAACTTGACTTGGAGCGTATACGTGTATTTTAAGAAGCTAGTAGAGGGATTGCTAAAATATTATTTACACCTACGTGCTTAGTACGTTCATGTTTCCTCCAGTAATTCCCTGAGATAAAGGGTATTATTACCACCTCACTGTGAGATAGGGAGAAATAAATCATTTGTCTTGCGCCGTGCCATGAGTCGCTGGTGGAATTGAGTGGAGGTGTGGGAACTCCCAGGGTTAGGCTCAGTCCTGCAGGAACAGTTAAGCACTGTAAAAATCCAATTGGAGAAATCTCTCTCTTGTCACAAGGGGTGTTTCCATGAATGATAGGATCTAGATCCACGCCTGCTTTGTCTCGTTAGTTAAAATCTGCTCCAGGTTTTAAGGTTGCAGCGTGATACCACTGCCTGAGCTGAGCGGTCACAGGAACGCCAACCACGACTCTCCCAAGTTGACTTCTTCTTGGTGATACCTAATAAAGAATGAGTAAGTGGAGAAGTTTTGAGCTCCTGTTCCTACCAGAAGAGCTCTTATTATAGATGTAAGGTGTGTTGGTGAGGTTACATGATGAAGCCTGTGTTCCCCTTTTGCAAATCCACCCCATGGGATTTCAGGAGACACGTGAAAGCCTCAAAGATCTCTACCTGATTTCTTTTTATTTTCTTTTTATTTATCATTCCATCCTTCAGATCAGAATAGGTCTGTCTTTGTGCACACCTTGCTGACCTGGCCTTTAGTTCCCAAGCCAGACAAGCTCGGGGCCTCGCTCTCCCCTTACCGACTGGCTGGGTAATTGCCAACTGGTAGCCGTGTGAGATGTCACTCATGGTTGTAAAGAGCTGGATAACACTGAAGTATTTTTTTTCCAGTAAGCTGGTGGCAGGATGAAAGGATTAATGATATTCCAGCCTATCTAACACCTCTTTTTTTAAGGCGACGTGGCTTAGGGGAATTAAAAGCAGACTTTGTGGCTGTGTTTGCAGGAGAAGCTCCGTGTGGTTCTTGCAGAGCTCCTTAAGCCTCGCTAGTAGGTCTTAGTTTTGTGCATCAAAGCTAGAAGCTCCCTAATTTGTTTAGGGCTCGGTTGCAGTGGGTATTGCAGGAAAGTTGCCGGTTGATTACATATGTAATGAACTGATTCTATTTTAACTTTTTTTTTTTCAGATTGATATAAAATGGGGAAATAGCCTTATTTTCTCTGCCCACATCTAGTTCAACCTTGGTTGAACAAAAGTGGGAATTGAGTTCCCTTCTCAGTGACGCGTCTTTTTGTTGATACTGCAAAGAATCTGGCAAGGGAAGTGCTCTTCCATCACAAACCTGTTTTGCAGGGTGGAGGAGGCGAGGTGTGTAGGTGGAAACGTTATGTTTGCTTTTACAGTGTTCAAGGGGAAAGGCTGCTAACTATTCTAGCTGATAGCTCGTATTACTGTAAGATCAGAAAATAAAAATGCAAAGTTAATGTTTTCTTGCCTTTTACCACTGAAGCTTTGATGATATGAGTAGGTAACTACTGGGTTTCGCAGAGGATTTGTGGGCCTTTGTTTAGAGAGAAAATGCACTCAAATATGTTGATACTCTCAGTGGTAAGGTACTTGGAGGACTAATCAACTGTGATCCTTACAACAAGAAAGCTGTTGCATCTTTCCACCTTCCTGTTGTTCTTTGGCTCCTTTGTTTGTCAGCTGCTACATCTGAAGGTTAAGGTATTAATTGCAGTACTCTGCTTCTTGAGAGAAGAGTTGTGGTTTAACCCGGCAGGCAGCTAAGCACAACACAGCCGTTCACTCACTCCCCCAATTTGGGATGGGGGAGAGCATCAGAGAAGGGTAAAACTCCTGGGCTGAGATAAAGACAGTTTGATGGGACAGTAAAGGAAGGGAAAGTAATAAAGAATCACAAAGCAAGTGGTGCACGATGCAGTTGCTCACCAACAGCTGACTGATGCCTGGACAAACCCCAAGCTGGGGTTTTCTGATTGTTTCCTAATTGTTTGCTTTTCTTTTCATTTTTCAGAACCGAGAGCTCCAGATTATGAGAAAGCTGGATCATTGTAACATTGTCCGATTGCGTTATTTCTTCTACTCCAGTGGTGAGAAGGTAAGGACGAAAACCAGGAAAATGCCTCCTAGTAACCGTCTGGGCCAGAGTGAGCTGTTTCAATTTATAGAGACAAGAAAGAGTGCAAAAATAGTAGACCTGCTAATGCTGAGAAAACACTGTAGTGGTACTAAGCAGGTTGGTTTGGAGCAGATCTTTTTCTTCACAGAAGTGAGGTGGTCTATGAGGAGTAGTGTTATTAGCGTAGCAGAACAAAACAGATTTGGATACACTCTCCCTCTTCTTGAATTCAATTAAACACAGCAGAGCTTTATCTGCACATTCTAGCACTACCTCTCTGTAAGAACAGATGTTTTCTAGGATTCAGTGTTAAGCTCTCTAGATTTATAGCAACTATGTGATGTTTCCCAAACCCAGTCTCTGTATGTCTCTGTCCCATTTCTTTGTGTGTCTCTACCATATACAAACTAAGCTTCAAAATCAGAGGGGGGAAAAAAAGTACGATCACATGATTGCAGCATTTCTCAGAATGTTTATACACCAGAGGGAGGAGCAGATAGCAGGATTTAATAAATCTCAAGAAGGAGGTGCTACCATGTGTTTTCTTTCAAAATGTTCTTTATTTTTCTTTGAAAGGCAGTACAAGATTTTATTTTAATGTGAAGTTACTGGAGAGTTCAGGATGGAGCGGGCATCAAGCTGGCATTTGGTCCAACCTCATTTGTAAAGCAGGGTTACCCTTGAGGTTGTCCCCTTTTCCCTCTCCTTCCCCCCAAAAAAAATCTGTCTGGCTTACGTGGGAGTTAGTTTATTAACACTGGGAGGTAGGGAGTGAGGCTAGATGACCTTCTGAAATACCTCTGGTCTCTTTTGTGTATCTATATAGCTATAAATATTTATATAAATTATTAAAATAATTTGTATAACTGTTGTAATTTACCATTTTATAAGCAGATCGTATCCTCAGTTGCCTTCAGATGCCGGTACACCTGTGTCTGTGCTAAAAAGGACTGTGTACCTGAGCTGATGGCAGTAGGAAGGCCATTAACAGTGGCTGCCACCATGTGGGTTGGCAGAATGGGAGAGGCAAACCACTTGGTGGCCATTGCCCCTTGTCTCCAGCAGCTAGGGAAGGAGCTGACGTCTCCAAGATGAGCTTTTTTTTTGGGGGTAGGAGGAGTCACGCCTTCATCTTTCTCTCCCCTACAATTCCCTGGCAAGCATTTACAGTTCGATAAGTACTTCTGGTGGTAGTGCAGTAGAAGTGTTTTGTTGTTATTATATTGTAACCATTTGGCACATAACCAGAAATTATAAGAATAGAAACACTGAGAAGGAGGGCTTGGTTATGGATTCCTTATATATATACATACATATTTTTAAAAGCAGTTTGTAACCTGGCCAGTGGGCAGTAGAATTTCAAGAGGCAAGCAGAAGACAACTACCTTTATCTATCAGCTTTCAGAAATCTTCTGCAAACAGTGGAAGTGTTAAAACTTGAGAGCAGTGTTCCAGGAGTTCTTCTCTAACGATAATTTAAGTAAAAACTCTTTTGGAAATCTTTAACTTGTTGTTGAGCTTGTTGACTAGATTTTCCACTTAGCTGCTTCCACTCCACGTGGCTAATTCTTGGCAGAGCTGGCTTTGCTTTTCAAAATGCAGCCTCTGTCCCACAACAAGTGAAGCTTAATGCTTCGGGGAGAGGTTTTCTTCCAAATTCCTCTTCCTCCTCTCTGTTCAGGGCTCTGCTTTGTGCCTTTGAGACTTCCACTACCACCTTCTTGCAAAATGGGACAAATGTGAGCCAGTCCCTAGGGCAAAGGTGCGCTCAGCCCAGCGTCAGCAGCGATAATGCTCCTATTCAGGTTGCAAGGTCTCTCTGCAGCTCGGTGCAGAACGATACATAATTGGCTTGCATTTCCACGTTGGCAGCAGCACGTGCAGCTAACTGCAAATTAGTTCGTCAGCGGCTGGTTGGGAAAAGCTCTAGATAGTAGTAAGTTGGGGTTCTGAAGCTCATCTGCTGGGGAGGAAGAATAGCCTCTTTTCTCATGGTTTTGTCAGCTTGGGAAGGAATATTTCATTCAGTATTTCATGAATTCCCTTCATCTTACTCTCATGATCAAGCTGGCTCTTTGGAGAGTAGAAGAAAGGGAGAAAAGTTTAAGTTAGTCTCATTCCAGTCCCATCAGGTAACCAGGAAGGGCACCTAGGAAGCAGTTGCAGATTTAGATGCTAGATACACAAGGCTTTTTGTAAAGTAATTCTTGAAGCCTAGTCCAGTGGGAAGAGTAACATGAAAATCCAAGGAAAGTACAGTAGAAAATCCTAGCAGCATAAGTGGGGCTTGAATAGTTCACTGTCTTCATGCGGAATTCAACATGTAAAGTAAACACAGATTAATAGCAGTGGATTGTTAATTAACTAAAGTCAAGCAATGACGGGAACGTTTCAGAAGTAACTATTACGCTGCTGATCCCTTTAATAAAATGGTTTCAAACTCAACTTAATTTCAGTCCCTACATGTTAAAGATTCTCTTGCCTAAACATTTTCATGCTGCCATCTTCACTCCACATGTTGGTCCCAGCTGAAGTGTTCCTTGGATTTCTCTCCTTTTACCTGGTGCTTGACACCAGTGTCTCTAAGCCCAGATATAAATATATTTTTCTGCTAATATCTGAGAAGCTTAAATTTGTCTTGATTTCCAGTTGCCTCAAAGGGTTTCTCCAAATCCAGTCATTTAGTTGGTATTCTTTGAAAGCTGTGTGCCTAACAGTCACTTTACTTCATTTTAAGTATTTTTAGGCACTGGACAACCTTAAAATTGGTTTTATTCTAGCAAAACAGAGTTCAATTCTCTGATAGGAAGCTGGAAACAACAGCAAAAATCAATTCTAAATAACACTTGATAGTGAGACTCTTCCTCAGCTGCATTAAAGCTGTAGTTAGTTTGCAGAGTGCTCTGTTCACCCTTTCAGGGGCTGCCCATAAGATTGGTGAAAGTGTTTGAATGCCCTATATTCTTTTCTTGAGATAAACTTCTCGTTTTTATTTCTTCCGTTTATTTAAGCTTCTTTCCTGCCTTCACCAAAAGCAATCCAGCACTAGCAGCAGGGAATTCCTGTATCAAACATGGCTTTGGCTGAATCCCCCATTTCTGAGCATCTTTGAATTTGTATTACCTTTATATAGGTGTATCTTCCATACATATGTGCATGTATATATTTGTGTCTCTGTATATATATATACATGCATTTATATGCACAGATTTATCCCTTTCTATATATCACATGTATTACTTTACATACTGACTACGTATTAATCATGTTTGACTAATAATTTCCAGTTTAAGAGAGCTCACAGACAGCATCTAATATATGGTAATAAGACAGTTGACGGGCTTGGCATTCAGGTTGCTTCCATAACCTATATCCTCCTCGGTTCTGTCTTTCTCTAAATTTACAGACGTTTGTCAGACCTGCTGGGTAACTCGCTTCTTCCAAAGGATTTCCTTAATGAGTTTGCCAGAGTAGTTTCCCATTTCCTTTTTTTCTGAGGCTTTATGAGATGACCGATTGCAGGACACGGACTTTTGTAGTTCTAACATGCTTTTCAGTAGTCCAAACCCTGTAATTATGACTAGTGGAAAGAAACAGAGCCTGGAAAGAAACAACAGCCTACTCTGCTGGTCAGCTTACCTCCAGGAGGCCCTCAGTTCTGCTGAGGACCTTTTGAACCATGCTCCAAGGGAGGCAGGACGTGGACAGGCTGAACAGCACTCCTTGGCTCCTGTGCTCAGAGTAATCCCTGATGTTTTGCAGCCCGAGCTATCATCTTAAATCAGTGGCTGCTGAATAAAAGTATTCAGTTATGTAAAACCTGAAATACGGATGCCTAATCCCCGTTTTATTTCTTTGCGTTTCTGGTTTGGGATACATCTCTGTGGTATTTCATAACCGTCGGGTTTTCTTCTGAGGATGTTTTTGAGTGTTTAATAGCCTGATTGATCCAATCCCGATCCATGCCCAAAAGAGGAAGAGAGGTCAGTGGAGAGATTTGCTCCTGCATCAAACTGTATAAAAGTGAAGTAAATACTGTTTTTGTTGAGTAATCATGACTCTGGTTATGTAACGTTTTTTTCCCTTTAAGGTGGCTTGGTACTCAGAGCAGTCAAAGGCAACATATGAAAGCTCACAAACAGGCAATACGCTGACTCTTTGTGGAGGCTGAGCTGGCTTTTCTGCATGCTTTAATTGATTTTTAGTTTTATTTAGCCTCAGCTGTGAGGGCGTGCAGCCAAGAGGCCGTGCAGACTCAGGGTAGAAATTTACTCCCGTAGACTTAGACAGAGGTTTAAAATACATGCGCAGGAGAGGGTGCACAGCTCAGAGGCGCTTTGGCAGCAGCGTACTAAGCTGCAATGAAGACATTTGGAAGAAGGGACCGACTGGCCAGCTGGAAATTTAGGCTTTGCTGAACAGCTAGCATTTCTCCAGGATCATATCCCTGTTAGGAAGAGGCACATCCTCCACCTTCAGAGGCATGAGCATCACCATTCTCTCTTGCAGGAGTAACACCCACCCCACACACCCCAAAAAGACAGGTTCTGCACAAAATACTCCACTGACGACAGAGCCTTGATCCCAATCCGGAATGGACACAGCCTACATGTATGTGAATGTTTTGCACAGGCCGAGTAAAGTGCTGAGCGACCATTGCTACAGATGAATTTAGTCACTACGATCCATTTAATCCTTGGCAGATCTGCTGTGCTGTCAACAAAGGAGCAATTAATGCCAATTATGATGAGTTTGTGATGTTGGTAGCTCTGTAGTCCTTGCCTGAGGTCTGCCAAGCTCGTTTCAAAAAAAGGCACCAGTCATCAGATAATGATTATCAGTTACTGCTGCTGGTGCTAGCAACATGCTGGGAACTTCCTCAGCTGCAGCTCTGAGCAGTCTCTGATTTTGGGTAGGGTTCGTTAGCAGTTACGCCTGCCTGCTGCAGGGCTTTGGAGCAGGCAGCAGTGGTCCTCTGT